CTCTCCCTCTCCCTCTCCCTCTCTCTCTCTCATTTCATCTGCATAGGAAGTCATTTTTGGTCTCAGGGTCTGCTTTGGTAGAATCCAAACTAAGTTAAAAACAAAATTTTTCATTGTACATTTATAAGTAAATTACTAAAAATGCAAAGTTCTCAATGAGTCAACACAGTGGCAGAAATTTATTCAGCCAAGAAAATAGTAACTCAGTTATTTACAATAAGTGCATATTATTAGAAAGTCTAGGGAAATAATAATCAGAATTGGTATTTCCTAAAGTGAATATCATGCTTGAAAAGAAGTGAAGAGGGGGACAACCCACTCAGGCCCCCCTTCTGTCCTTCTCTTGGACAGAAGCTTTCTTTTCCCCAGTAAATATTCTGCTCATAACCTCCATTTGTTCCTAAAATTCATTCTTCAATTTTAGAGAACACAAACTTGTCCCAGGTACCTTTCAGGTCAGGAGTCTCATTTTTTCCCCTATATCATTTGGAGGTCATCCAATGAAATCATTGGACAGAGGTATGAGTTTGCTTTTCTTTCATAAATTCTGGATTGGGACTTACTTAGGTAACAAATTTTTATGATTCAATTTTTCACATATCTTTGCCCATTGCTCATAATTGTTCATGTTTTGCTTCATATAATTTTGTCTCATATACTTCTGTTAAAATTGCTTATAATTGTTTTGTCTCTTACATGGTTTTGTCAAAATGTTGGTCAAAATGTTGGTAAATCTAAGTTAAAACATGGAAATGGTATAAGATTGTAATATTTCTCTAAAGGTACATTTTATTTTTTTTCCTTAATCTTATTGAGAAACAAATAGCACTAAGACAGTTTCAAACCAAATTGGTAGGACAGATTCAATAATTAACACATTGCATATATTCTTCCCAGTGGATAATTGCTATGTAAGATGCGGACATGGTATCTTAATTACAAACACTATTAGAACAAATCCCTCTATTCATAAAGAGAATGTAAGTATATATCTATCCTAACCATTTTGAATACACAGATACAAAATGGACATTCATCTGTATCCCGTTTTCTGTTCAGTTCAGTTATTTGAATATTATAGGTGTGTTAACTCAGCAAAATATTCTGAAAGAGTCCAGTAGTCCATAATAGTATGGGGTCTTCTGCTTCACTGGCAATGTCAGAAATTGTTGACCTGAGTCCCCTACAGCTCAACATAGCAGCATGGCTTTACTTCTTATACTTCATTTTTATACTTTTCTGCTGGATGGTTAAGACCAAGATAAACCATTCCTCAGGTGATGGGCATCTTAGTTGTTTCCAAAATTTGGCTATCACAAATTGTGTTGCTATAAAAATAGGCACACATATATCCCTACAATATGATGTTTTCAGATCCTCTGGGAAAATTCCCAGTAGAGGAATAGCTGGTTTAAATGGGATTTTCAGTCCAAATTTTCTAAGGAGTCTCCACACTGATTTCCATAA